ATAATATCAGGCTCGGCTCGGCTTGGATCGGCTCGGCTCGCTAGGCTCGCGAGCCTTAAGGCCTATGAGGAGCTTTAATTTTGTGACAATTTGGCAGCACATTCGCATGAAATTTTTAGGATATATCCTATTTGCTTTTGACCGCGCACGCAGAATCGGAAAATTTGATGAACCCTAAATTAATAGGCGTCGATCTGCGTGGAGAAAAGAAAACAGGATATATCCTAGAAAATCATGCGGATGTGGTGCAATTTAGAATCAATCTTGTAAATAAAGCAATATTTATTTAACATATTTATGTTTAATTGTTTTAGAAAGATTTTGAGCGTCACTATTGATACATAGAAAACTATACTCTAATTGGGGTTGTCTAAAGCCGTGTCCATCTCGAGATTTTCCGTTGATCAAAATCGTAAATTTATATTCGAAGAAAACATTAATTAATTTCGGGAAATCATGTGATGAACACGGCTTTGGACATCCATCTATAAATCATGAGATTTGTGATACTTATTATAAAATCCTGTGATTACAACCCTTTATTACGTATACACCAATACAATTTCCGCTCAAAAAATTTTTAGAAATGATAATCTTACAAAAAAGGAAAAAAATCTATTTTAATAATAACATAAAATTATATAAATTATGCCTCGCTATACAATTAAAAAAAAGGGAGAAAAAAAATTATCCAAATTATCTTTTAATCTACAATATTCCATGTGCTAAGCCATTTTCTATCTTTATATTCTTTTGAAGGGTAATCCATTCCAAATGATATATCTTTGAAATATAAGAAAATTCCTGTAATTATTAAATAACATATTCCAAATATTACATTTTTGATTTTAGAATTACAAGTTGAGGTGAAATGATCTAACACAAATCCGGCCATTAATATAGAGAAATAAAGTGCAGGAAAATAATGATGAAGATATGTGACACGACCCATTATACAAAATGGTATATAATGTAATAACCATCCAACTCCACATATTTTTCCGACATATAAGAAATAATCCCATTGGGCTTTTTTTAATAAAATAATTAAATTAGAATTAAATTAGAATTAAATTAGAATTAAATTAGAATTAAATTAGAATTAAATTAGTTAAAACTATTATAATTAATTAATTGTAAAATAATATAAATAATAAATAATTTACCTGGTGAAAAATCATTATATTGACGTTGCCTTCTAACAATATAATAAGCCAAAACAAAAATGAAAATAGCCAAAGAAGCTGTACCAGACCACCAAACAAAAGGATTACCGAGTAAATAAAATTTGACAACATCATCAGCCCAAGAACACATTCGAAGGCCAACTTCTACTATTGGCCATTGTAGAGGAGTAGATGCCAAGATATCTTCTTTATCAGCATCAGGAACGAGAGCATTATTTGAAGTATACATAGCAACATTCAAATGCCAAAAATCATGTAAAAATCTGGATTTATAATTGGATCTACCACCAGGAGGCACTAAATAGAAATAAGAATTTATTTTTTATTTCTCTTGTTAATAAAAAAATAAGATAAAAATAATTAAAATGATAAAAATAAATAAAAAATGAGATAATTTACATTTATCATTCCAATGATGTTCAATATTCCAATGTGTATATGTGTCTTTAGGATTGTCTCGTTTGTCACACGTAACTTCAATTTGTTTAAATCCCCATTGTGGTAAAACAGCATTACCAGCTCGAAGATAACATCCAAGAACGTGATGTTTGAAACGCAAAGTAGAAGTTAAGGAATGAATTCGTTCGGTCTTTTTGAACATATCATCAAGTATTTCAATTTCCCAATAATCATTTTTATCACCAATAGTTAAATTTCCATAACAACTGACTTCCCATTGAGATTTTGTTACAGGAGCTTTTACTTGATGTGAATGAAGATTTCTTCCAGTATTTGCATGTATTAAACGAATTGTATCTCCATCCTTCACAAATTCAATTTCTGGTTCACCTGTTTCATTACCAAATCCAGCAGGAGCTTCTCGAGTTTTATGAACGACCCAATCATTATTTGAATCTTTGTGATGATAACAAGTAATTTGCTGCTGTTCTGAACCTGATGGATAAGTTTGTATATGAGAATGTAATAATCCACCTCCATAACCCATATTTTTGAGTGTAAATTTAGAGCCATATGCGAGTTCTACAAATAAATGTAAATATAATAATATGTAAATATAATATTTATTTATTATATCAAAAAAGAGAATTCTATCAATAAATTGTTAGTAACAACTTTAAGACATTACCGAAAGGATTCTCCGAAAAATCATTGCCATGAAGACCAGCTTGAAATAATGAACTCATTTGTGCATCTCCTGGTCCACTATTGTGTAAAATTGCAAAGTGGATTGCAAAACTGAGCATATATACAAGAAGTGGTAATATTATTAAACCACCAATTCTTGCGATCCAATGTTGGATATAAACCGTCTTTACAATAAAATATAATAAAATAAAAAAAATTAATAAAATAAAAATTAATAAAATATAAAATATAAATTAATTTTATGTATTATTTACCTTTGGCATGCTTAAATCTCCAAATTTTTCCCAAAGATCTTCAATAGTGTATAAACCAACTAAAGCTGTGACAAAAAGTCCAACCCATTTGACACTAAAAATATAAATTTGTCAATTATATAATGAATAAAGAATACACAAAGCAAGTGGGTTTTTATTTTTATTTACCTTGTAACGCATCCAATAGATAATCCAGTTAAAAGAAGCCAAACCACCCATTCCAATGAAAAAGGGCTACAAAAAAATTGATAGATAGATATATAAATAAAAATAAAATTATAAAAGAAAAAAAGAAGAAAAGAAAAGAAAAGGAAGGAAAAGGAAATAATAATTAATAAAATTTCAAATACTTACTTATTACGTTGATTATGAAATTTAGTTAAAAAGAATACAGTTGTGAAAGTGAAAAATAATAACATAGAATCTAATAGAATAAATCGACTTATAGTAAGATATGCCATATCTAGAAATCATAAATAATAAAATAATAATAAAATATAATAAAAATAATAAAGACGTATATTAATAAATATAATAAATATCACTAAAAAAAAAAATCTATTTCTTAATAAAAATACAAAATCCAAATTCCCAATTTACCAAATAAGACCATTAGAGTCACGAGAAAAACCGATTGTTGGGAAAAGTCCAATTCAATAGCAGTAAAATATGCCAAAGGAACCATCCAAGCACCAAAAGTTGCCAAGAATACTCTCATAAATGAATAATTTACATGTTCAGGATATGCAGAACCTGATCCAAAATCAAAGGATCCATTATATCCGGCCAAATATCCTGATAAACCAACAATCATCTTTCCAAGTGGCGGATGTACATCAAAATAAAATTCACGTTTAAGATAATGTGACGCGAACTTTAAAATTAAAGGATCAATTTTTTTATTAATTTTTATTTAAATATTATTAAATATTATTAAATATTATTAAATATTATAATAAATCCAAATATAATAAATAATATTAATTTTTTACCTTGCCAAAATGGGCCTTTTTATTTTTATTTATTTATGATTTAAAAAAAAAAAAAAATTATAAAAAATGTAGAAAAATGAAAAAATATGAAAAATTCATTTTTTACTTATAATTTGGCTTACCTCATCCCACACAACAATTTTAGAATATGAGATTAAATAAAGTCTTGTCCAAAATGAAAGAAACGTAAAGATCAAAGGAATAATATATTCTTTATATTGATACCAATATCCCAGATACTTTTTTGATTAAAAAAATTTTTTTTTTATTATTTTAAAAAAAAAAAACTTATTTAATAAAAGAAATTAAAAATAGAAATATAAAAATACCTTATTTCCGTGATACTTGAATGGTTTATAAACTTTTCCATTTTCGTCTAAATCTACAGGTTCAAGAGGAACGTTATCGTATTCCTCTTTTGTTTTTGGTGTAGGTTTCCTTTGCTTTAACATGTCGGAATATATTGAATTATTATTATTATTATAATTATAATTGTAATTTGGTAATATTGAAGTATTTTTATTGTTTCTATTATTAGTGATATTATTATTACGACTATTTTCAAGGTCGTCGCTTGACCATATGTCAAGTTGTACTGTTGAATTCATAAAGGGTAACTACTTTATATACAAGTTTAAAAATTCGCACATTTTTTTAATTATAAATCACGTTTTTCACCATTCCTAAATCTAGCAAGGTTTGTTATTTTGAATAGCGTGGCAAATTTTTGTTTGTTTAAAAATCTCGAACTTTTGGCGTTAGGGAATACAAATAATGCAAAACATTAATAAAAATTTTCAATTAAAATAATATAAAATAATGCAATAACAATGATAACTTTAAGCAAACAGAGAAAATTTTACTATATTTGTATTGTGTAATATAGATAAGTATATAAAAAATAGAAATCAAATGGATCATCAAATGATTAAATGAATTGCTTACAATAAACATCAAGAAAGTGGCTTGTCATCTTAATTAGAACCTTCCAAATTGAACTAAAATTTGAAGACTAGGGAATGATGATCAGTAAATTTGACATATTCAATGAAAAAAGAGAAAATTGCAAAATTTATGTTCGGGGCATCGATTTGCATTGGAACAATTGGAACACCAACATTGACAACAACAAGGGGTATGATATACCAAATCAATAGATTAGTAGCAAAATCGAGGACGAAAAAGATACCAACATTGCAATGGTGCGATTTGAATGTTTTCCTAACCAAGGAAGAATCTGAGAAATGCAGTCATCCTTGGGGGAACTGTCCGAAATGATACCGTGGAGAGCATTACACAGACGAAGAAAAAACCCGAAGACGCCGTGTCGTCTTGTACTCCCGAACAATCAAATTATCAGACATGAAACTAATTCTTCCATGCACCAAGTGCCAGTGGGTAGCGAATACGATGAAATGCGACGGAATCGTTATAATCAACCATAATAGTCGATAAGATTAAAAATGCAACATCTTTTGGCTTTGAGCTCTCTGAAGATAGACCAGGAACATTTTAAATATGAATTAGAGAAAGTTAAACATTATGGTTTTGATCACATAATCGTCACTGGAGAGCGTCCATTCGGAATTCTTTTTCTGGATTGTTATGGTCGAGTGTTTGATTGGGATGACATGAGTGGTGTGTTATGGTTTTATGGGGATTATTTGAAAGAGTGAATAAGAAATCTGAGACTGGCCGAGTGGCATGGGGCGTAGAGTTTGATTGGACTATTGTTGAAATTAAGGATGGTATGTGCAAAATTTGCTCATTTTTTTTTGCCTTAAATTTTTATAACTGTTTTCTTTCTTCCAGATTCACATGAACGACGCAATATTAATCTCGTTGCAAAGGATACAAATGATAAAGAAAAATAAGAAAAAGCGTCATTGATGTGGTTGATAGTGCACAATATTAGTATCTTAGCTTGAACCTTTTCGATATAATGTAATTTTTATTACGTTGTCATGAAAATAAAATGATATGCAGTTGTTTCTTAAATTTACGGAACTCGAATTCTGACATTACAAAGCTTTCGAATGTATTTCGAATGTATTTCGAATATATTAAGTTTACGAATAAAGAATTTATTTGTTTACCCGGCTTTGTCTTTTTTACACTTTTTACTAATTACGCATTGGGAAATACCATACGTGTAATGATCATGGAGTAATTGAAGTTTTAAGTTTACTCAATAAGACCCAATTCTCGAAGATGTTCTGGGATAACTATATATGAATCTTCGTAGTACCAAACATACCTTAAAACGATCCAGTTCACATAATTCTTTCTTGAGTTGAACACGTTCTTTGCTGTCGGGTAAAATTATTTTGATCCCCTCTGTGAAAGAATTCGTGATATTTTTTTTTGTGTTGTATACCTTCACTTCTATAGCAAAGCCGTAATCGTAGTATGGGATATCGAGCTCTAATCCAGTAGCTTATTCCCTTTGGAAAATAACGTACTCTCGTCATTCAAGTGATGTCATAAGTCATAGTCATGTCGTCAGAGAGAACCTTGGCTATGTGACGTCACCCACCGTGAGGATAGCACTATACCTGTTGCCCAAATCACAAATAATTTGGGATTTGGGATTTGGGATTTGGGATTTGGGATTTGGGATTTGGGATTTGGGATTTGGGATTTGGGATTTGGG